AAAGAAGCTTTTTGGTGAGCCATGCTCAGGGATTGCTTTGGGCTTTTTTTTTTCAGAGTGCAAAGCCCAGCCCCGGCAGCCAGGCTGGGCACGTCTTGTCAGCAGTGGGAGCAAGAAGATTACAAAGATTAGCTGGGGTGCAGAATGCAGGGTGGCAGGGGCCTTGGAGTGCAGGGTAGCAAGGGCAACTGCGGTTGGGAGTGGGCTGGGGTGTCTGTGGCTTCCTGGGGCATGGCAAGCAGCCCCATAGCCGCACAGTTCTGGGGCTGCTTGCCACCCCACAAGGCAGGGTACAGGACAGCCAAAAGGGCAGAGATGGGGGGAGATAGGTGGGTGGGGGGAGTTGGAGACAGTCCCTTACCTTACTGAGGCTTGGGGTCGGGTGGGACCAAGCCTGGAGTGGCTTGGATTGGGGTGGGTACTCACTTAATGACCTGCGATTCTTGGTTAATTATAGCAACAGGGAGTGCTGGGATTGCGGTTGCTAAGTGATGTGGTCACGTGACGTCTCACTTTACAACTTCATCACTTAGCGATGGAAATACTGGTCCCAAATGTGGTCGTAAGTCAAGGATTACAGGTTTGAAAAAGACACGCTGTTGCGCAGTTCATCTGTCGACATGGAGGTGGCTGTGCAGTTCCAGTCTGGAAGTGCAGAGTCTAGCACAATGGGGGTGCTGGAAGTCCATTGTTGTAGTAACCTTGGGTGTTATTCTGTGATGCCGCTCAAGGATTTCCATCAGTTTTGGGTGGTGCCTGTCTTTAAAGCTGGTGGAGGTTTCATAGCCCAGGGCTCGCCAGTAGGTTCTGGCAGCAGCTGCAGCTTCTAGTTCCCTTGGCTGGATGTTACAGTGGCACAGGGTTACTTTCACAGCATCTTTGTAGCGCTTGTGTGGTTGACCTCAAGGTCTCTTTCCAGCCTCTGGTTCACCATAGAGAAACTGGCAAGGCATACAGTGATCATCTATTCTGATAACATGTCCCACCCACCGCATCTGGGCTCTGATAATCAGGGACTCCATGCTGGTGGACTCCGGGTGATCCAAGAACTCCAGATTGGAGACATGGTCTTGCCAACAAATGCCAAGGGTGGAGCAGAGAATGCGTATCAGAAATTTCTCCAGTTGTTTGATGTGCCTTCAGTACAGAGTCCAAGACTCACACCC